GTTTACAGAACACATATACTGAAAACATTCAATGCCATTATACAGTTAACAAGGACAGAGAATACATAAACAGAGGTAGACTTTCCCTTCTTTTCCATCTCTGGCATCTGGAGGCTGTGCTCAATTCTGGCCACGAGGTGGTGCTGCTTCTCCATCTTCCATGTGGAGGAGCTTTGTTGTCCGTAGTCATCCTCCTGATCGAATCACCAGCATATTCTTATGGACACCTTTTTATTACCTCCCCGCTAAAAGTGGTATCTATTTATCTACTCACGTTACTGTTTTCGATGTGTTAGGTGGGCAGATTTGTACAAACCGCCCATCCTCCCCGCTTCCTGTTAAAGGTCATGCCTCAGGACTTCTGGCTGTGCTTTTTTGTATGGATTAGGTCTCCTTTCCCTTGCTGCTTTTAGCGGCGGATAGGAAGAACTGACCGTAGCCCCTCCCAAGGGCTATTTATATGGACGGGGAAGGTGGGCGGGGCTACGCTAACTGTCAAATTGGTCTCGAGACCTTTCCGTTGCTGCCTGTGCGAGCGCAGGAATATACCACATGTGCAAATTCACAGGTGACCACTCAGGAAACTATGTTTACAGGTAAGCAACCTATATTTACTGTTTTCGATCTGTTAGGTGGGCAGAAGCTGGGTTGACAGTGGGAGCTCACCCCAACCTGGGTTTGAACTGCCAACCTGTTGTATATCAGCCTGTGATTGTGTCTGATGTTCATGTTAATATTCATGATGAGAATGGGGATGATGTTCATGTTGATGTTCATTAAGGGAATGGGGATGTTGATTCAGTTCCTGGGCCAGGGTCTGGTGGATTTGGGGATGAGGGGTCACTTGGGTCCGAACGGAGTTTAAAAGAGAGGCCAGAGAGGCCTGAGTTGCTGCAAGAGGCTTCTCAAGGTCCCAGGCTTGGGGAAGGCCTTTCGATGGAGTTACCTTGTCAGTTATCTGAGAATGAAGCTGACTTTGAGGTACCAGGTGCAGGAGTTAATGATGGGAGCGAGACCTTGAACAGGAAAAGAAGTTTTGGTAAACAGAGGCAGTACGAGCAGCAATTAAGATGCTCAGCTCGCATTCAATAGAAAATAGTTAGTAAACCGAAACTAAGAAAGAATCCATTCCTAGCAGTTTTGGAGTCAGGGAAAAGTTTATAATGATGTGTGAGAGACAATTGCTTCAGTTGAGGCAACGTCAGGATAATGCCAAGTTTTATGCACCAAGGTCTGCCTAGCTCATGTTTTACCTATGGGATATGCTTCTATTTTGTTCGTGGATTGAAGTGCCTGGTTTCATTAATTTCCTTGGACTCTTTGTTCCTGTCTTCCTTTGTATCTGATTAACTAAATTGGATTACTTTTACTGTGGATTACTTTTTACTGTTTGGCTACATATGTGTTGGGGTTCAGCCTGCGTGTGAAACTGAACCTGATTCTCTGATTGCTGAACCTGAACCTGATTCTCTGTTTATATTTCCTGATGCTACTGAAAATGTATTTTTCCCTGATGGTAATGAAAATGTTGATTCTGAGGTCAGTGGCTTGGAAAGTGAAACTACACATTCTGATGAGAACGTCTCAGAGCCAAGTGGTGATAGCTCTCCAGAGGAGCTATCACCTGGCTTCTTTAATGAGGATAGAAAAGGACAGATTTGGAAAAACAGGAGTGAATCGCAGAGTCTGCAAAGGTCAAGCAGA